TTTCCTCACAACCTACGCACGTTCCGTAGACCAAATCTTAACAACATGTAGTTTGGAAAATTTGAATTGGAGTCTAACGGCCGGTAGAGTCCTCTATTATTGGGCAATTTAGAAAGTCTTTTTAAAACAAAAGATACCATTTCTTCAAGTAAAGCATATGAAGCATACATTATTTTCTATGAATTAAAATGTATGTGGAATGTATTTCAAATTATAAGCGTTTGGAAAATGCGCGAGGAAATACTACCTAAGTAGGTATTTTTAGAGCATATCATTTTTGTATGCAGTGAGAAAGCAATCAGCTCCAAAATTGGGAGCCTGACGTCACTGAAATATCTTAAGCATAATCTATAAGATAATCTCATTTTTTTCGAATCTACAATAGATCCCGGAATTTCAGTTTAGGAATTACGCAATGTAATACAAAGTTTGATGTTTGAGGTACCAACAGTTGGGTAAAGCGAACGTACTTTTCTTTTATCCCACTTTTTTCAGCATGCTGAGTGCAAAGGTTGCTTTATTTCAATCTAACAGTAATTTCAACATCCTTTTTAACTGTTGGAGTTTTACTCTGATTTTGCATAGCTCAGGCAGTCCATGATTTTGGTTATTCTTCCTCCGACGTAAGGCCCATCGCGTTGACTTTTGTCAGTCAAGTCAGTTCAAGTCAATTACAATAAAGCTTAATGAACAAATGCGCAAAACACTCCTTCCTTTTGTAGTAAATTACGCCTTCATTAAATTTTATGCTTAAACTAAGGATGTCTTTTTGTGTTAAGAGAATGTTCTAATCATTAGACTTTTTACAGTCTTTAAATGTTCACTAATAATATATCGTATCTGTCAATCAAGTTATGCTGTCTATGAAGTTTGCAATATGATATATATCTATTGCAAAATTGTATGTGAACTATTGGCCTTTTCCGCACATCATAGAGAAGAAGGTACTTTTTAGTAGACCGAATGTGAACAGCATGCTATTTTAAAAACTTGAATTAGAATATAGCAGGTAGGGTCCACCGTTATTGGACAATTAGAAAGTCATTTAAAATCATAAGATACCCTTTTTTCAAATAAAGCATTTGAAGCAGAAATTAGTTTCGATGAATCGCGTACAATAATCAATTTTTTGAGTATGCCGTGCATAAAATGAATTTCAAATTATTAGTTTGGAAAACCTAAATTTAAATGTTATGGCCTGTGGTTTTTGCCATTATTCGGCAACTAAGAATCGATTTTCAAGCCAAAAGTTCCCTTTCTTGAAGTGGAAAATTTGATGCCGACATCCTGAGGTGACAGAAATATCTAAAGAATAGGCTGTATAATAATCGGATTTTTCTTCGAATCTAAAGCACATTTCACACCTTCAGTTGATACTTCAATAGATTGGGAAGCAACGGTATGTGATGTTAATAATGACATTTGAGGTACCAGCAGTTGGATATAGCAGACTTAATTATCTTTTATGTCGCTTTGTTAATCATGCTAGGTGCAAAGGTTGCTTTAATCAATCTGTTGGAGTTTTACCCTGATTTTGCAGTGCTTAATACGTTCATTCCTTCGGTTATACGTCCAGCAATTGGAAGCAAATCGCGTTGCATTTTGAAAGTCACACTGCGGGGTTAGACTGCATTTTGCATAGATTCCTAACTGTACACAATGGTTGTTCATCACTTCTGGAGTTTGTATTACGTTTCCTTTTCATTAAACTAATTTTCAACTTATCACTTCGACAAACCCCAATTTGTATTTCAGCTCTATGAAGCAAAACCAGAAACTTCGGTAAAACGACAAAATAATTTTAACAATCATTTTTATACATCCACAGGCGATGAAAAGTGAACATTATAGAGTAAGCACTTCGACTGCTCACATTTAGATGAATTGCTCTACCGCATGAAATAAAATTATGATGACACTGTATGCGGGAAACCGCAAATATCACTTGGAGGTAAGCTCTTTTTGGTGCACATTTGAGCAGCATTTGAAACTGCATAAGAATGGCTTCCGCTTAAGTGAGTGCCTTAAGAATAACAACTAGCAGCCTAAAGGCCAAAGTAGAAAATGCTTCGATGAAAAACATTTAACATTCGAAAGTGTAAATGTAACACAATTTTCTCGTCAAAACATCTGTAGACGTCAGTAAAGACTTACTTTAACCGTTTGCAGTAAATAGTAATTTTTTTTAAGATCAGTTGCCGTTTATTGCTAAAGCCCCAACTGTGAAAGTCAGAGTGCCGAGCGTGCTCAAATACGCGCGTCTCAAATTACTAATGGAAATCCTACATAGGTGTTTAAAAACGGCTAACAGCTACCGTAGAAAGAGCCATCACGCTGCATGTGCATTCCATTAACCTGCAAGTTCCTAGTTCACATCACGGACGTGACAGTTTTGCGTTCACCATCGGTCCACGTAATAATTCGCGCTGTCGTTTAAAGTTGGGTATATATTTCATAGATGGACACAGGAGTTACAATTTGACAGACATTTTTAAATAGAGACAGAGAAAAAACTCTTCACGGCCGTTAATATATAGTTGCGACAAATTCTGCTGATATGTTCAACATATCGAGAAATCGCGTTTGCTTCTCAGCGAATATGGATTTTCTCATCTTCTTACGAAATATTTCCTATTGCAAGTCGTACAGGTGTTTTGTCATGTAAGACACAGCACGGCGTTACCAGTTGTCCGAGATTCACAAATGTAAATTACCCTTCACAAACTGTGAAACAGTAAAGTCGCCGCGTTCGTATACAGCCCTCTTACTATGTGCGCTGAAGCTCCCGGGTAATGGTGACACTATATATTTTTTCGTTTACAAGATTCTCTTAAATAGAGGTCCAAATTTCAAAAAACACTGGTACATCAATGCAGTAGCAACGTGTGTTTAATATTATAACAGGGCTAGAACGTGAATAGCAGATTCTAATAAATGTCCTTTTTACAGCAAACAACATACCAAGATAATGTGGGGCCACTCTTGAATAATATAAGTCAAGCAACGCACAGGCGCATCACTATTTCAGGTATTCAACTAGCCGGCTATTATTTAAGCGTAAGCAAAAAAGAAAGATTTCGGTAGCTGGAATATCTGCCTGTACGTGTTATGAAAATGTTTCAGTTGAAATTGACCATTTAAAAAAACGATTATTATTATACAAAACCAACCGAATGAAGAGACTGCAAAAAAGACTAAAGGTTACTGCCGTCACATTCAACGGAAACCAGGCGTGCGCTCAAGATGCTGGTGAAAACAAATATGCAAACGACCTTTCTCTGAGCGGTGGATAGGAAGCTTTGTGCAAGTTAGGTCAGAAGTCCTGTGGCTGTGGGTTTAACGTTCACCAGTAGGTTTCCTTCCAAGTCACTAGATTCCTTTTTCGTATTGACAGCCCAGCACCCGTTTTAGCATCTTCCGGTACTTGCCCCAGTAGACGATATAGACAAAAAAGTTTGCCGTCGAGTTCATCTGAGAACCGAGGGCCGCCACATAGGAGCAGAAGTGAACGGTTATCAAGTAGGCACAATTCGAAGTAAAGAAGTGATGTGAAAGCAGCTGAACAATACTCACGGGCACCATGGGCAGCATGAAGAAAGTGAAGGTGAAGATGACAATTAGGAGACCGCGGGTTAATTTAACGCGCCGCGCAATACTGCACTTGGAGCTGGTGTTCTGTTTTTGGCTAACAGTTGACAATGTCTGCCGTTCTGGATATTCCCTCGGACCAAGACGAAAACGATCCGACCGCCGGAGACCACGTCCGATTTGCAGACTGCAGACAATGAGAACTATCAGTGGGATGAGAGTGACCAGTATGCTGTCAGTGAAGGAGTGCAACTGGTAAAACCACTCCGTCACTCCTGACCACTCTGGTTTCACATTCTCTATTGCCAGGTAAGAAATGAGAGGAAGTCTAACCACGATTGAAAATCCAAAACAACCACCAATGAGGCCGTCAGTTTTCTTCCCGTTCCACCACACTTTGCTGTGAACTGGAAAACAGACTACTAGGAAGCGTTCCAGGCCGATGAGTACGACCAACCAATTCCTGAAACATTCAAGAATATTGACGAGCACAAACAGAATGTTGTTTAGCAGCGGCAGTCTCAGAGGACTAGTACGTTTACAAAAAGTTAAGGGTTGGAGATAGAACAGAGATAAGAGTAAAAACTGGACATCAATTAGAGAGGTGACGATGAGAAGCTTTCGAGTTGTTCGGGGCGCTTTCTTGTCGCAACAGAACAGGCAGATACTTAGGCCGCTGGTGACTATGCCAGCCACACACACAGGTAAGCCCAGGATAGAGAGGAGAATAAGTCGATTGTAACGTAAAAAATCCTCGTGTGTTGGACCGCCAAGCCAGGCTTCTTGCATCATACAGGGTACGCTACCATTACCTGTTGTATTCGCAGCCATTTGTTTATTTAGTGAAGGCGAGATAGAGCCGACATTATTCTGCAGTTTTCAGCAGACAATTTTTGCGTCTGGTTAGTTATCTAGCTAAAGAAAAGCTGCGTATTTTTAAACAATGTGCTACTGGTCAAACTCTCTAGCCAATCAAATCATGAATACTCAGGGTGTGTGTTTAGATTATAACAGTGACCGATTAGTGCAGCCCCAGTAACCAGTAAAGGTTTGCGTTTTGTGAAATGTACAATGCACTAGGTGCGATGTGACGTCTAAAATTTAGCCAGTGGCAGTTGTAACGATGGTCGAGAAATATAAGATAGGTTTTTGTCCTTGGCTGTACCTTATGCCTGCAAGAATGCGTAGTTGAAATAACAGGAACAGAAAGACCTGGGTTCTTTTCAGGTAAAAGTTACATGGCATCATTTCGAGACTGGATAGCCGTTCTACTGCGAAATACAAATCCAAAATAATAAATCAGGGCTTCAAATATCAGCCTCCAAGATTTCTTTATTCCATAAGTCTCTTGGGATGACTTTCAAGTCTTCGTCCTACCCCCATGATAGTTGTGTGATGCATCTATAAACGAGGAAAAATATTTTAAAAGTGCTTTTCTCGCTGTTGATCCCCACACAAGCACCAACTACTCGAAATTCATAAGCAAATTTGTTAATTTAGTTATACGAGTCTGCCATTTACTGTAATACAAAGCATTAATTATTTCAGCACGATAGTTTACAATAGGAAATTTATTTTTGTTTTGCATAGCGCTTCATTTAAGTTGACTAGTCAACCAATTTGTTAAAACGAACTCCACCTGTAGCACATGATGCAACTTCTGTCAGTAACTTTGAAAACCAGTTATTTGAAAAATTCTCAAACGAAAGGTATTGGCATACAACTGTTTTAAGAAATTTACTTCAATGTTTTCTACATGCACAATTAAGATACAATTTTGTGAAAATTCTCATTTCCCGCGTTATGCACTTTTATGGTCATAATTTCAGCAGTGTTGGCATAAAAAACAACATCCGAAAAACACTATAATTTACTTTAGTAAAACTGGTATAACATTATAAGTTCTCGCAAATTGT